GGGTTTGGGGGTTTAGGGTTTAAGGAACCCGACTTTCTTTAATAGGGGCCTTTATTTTTGGAATAGGGTTTAAGCCACTTTAGGAGTTTAGGGTTTAGTGTTTAGGGACCCCATGAAGCCACTTTAGGGTTTAGGAGTTTAGGGTTTAGGGGTTTGGGGGTTTAGGGTTTAAGGAACCCAGCTTTTTTATAGGGGCCTGAACAATTGGAATAGGGTTTGGGGGTATATTATACTATACTTATAATAACGAACCCCCAACAACCCTCTTCTAAGTAGTAAGGCTTCTACATTCTGCTACCCCAGACCCCCAAAAGGATCTAAAAAATAGATCCCCTAATTAGGGACCCTAACTACTAAAGGGTACTTTATAGGAACCCCCTTAGGGGATCTATTTTTTGGATCCTTTTGGGGGTCTGGGACCATAAGAAGGAAACCATATCATTTACTAGACATCCCGGTTTAGGGTAACTTGAATTATTACACTTCTTAACCAGAGCCCAGTAGTGGTAGCAATCCTAAACCTGAAACCTAAAAGGTACGCCTAGGGTTTAGGGTTTAGGGTTTAGAGTTCAGGATTTGGGGTTTAGGGTTGAGGGTTTAGGGTTTAGGGGTTTAGGGGTTTAGGGGTTTAGGGCTTAGGGCTTAGGGTTTAGGGTTTAGGGTTGGAACCACAAACACCCGAACTAAGATCCTAGACGGAGCTTGCAGAAGAAGAGCCCAGGATCAGTGGCAGAAGGCCCTAAGCCTCTTTTCGAGCATGGTGCCTCGACTCGGCACAAGAGAGTCTGGGGTTTTGAGCTTCAGGGCCTTGGGGTTTAGGGCTTTAGGGCTTTAGGGTTTAGGGCTTTAGGGTTTTATGGTTTAGGGTTTAGAGTTTAGGGTTTAGGGTGGTGCCTTCAACTGAAGACGAGCTCAGAAAAGCTGAGGCAGAGGTGAGGTCTCCGCCAGATGTGCTGAGCTTCGGCGGGGCGTTGAAGGCCTGTAGACAAGGCGCCGGGCTCTTTTTTCTGTGAGACCCCTTATGTAACCCTTGAGGAAGCCCCGTGTTAGCATCCGTGAAACTTTTGGTCGTAGCCCTATGCGGCATAATATGTACAACTTGGGGGACGATAAGGGGCCTGTGCTTTCGGCGTTTACCCGGGGCTTGTAGGGTCCCGCGACACTCATAGGGTTTAGGGTTTAGGGGTTTAGGGTTTAGGGGTTTAGGGTTCAGGAAGTTTAGGGTTCAGGAAGTTTAGGGTTTAGGAAGTCTAGGAAGTTTCGGGTTTATAGGGGTTTAGGGGTTTAGGGGCCCTTGCATGTGCGAGAGGTGGTCACTGGCAGCCGGCCGTCCATCTGCTTTCAATGATGGACACAGAAGGCCGGCTCCTGCTGTGTCCGGCCTTTTAGGGTTTAGGGTTTAGGGTTTAGGGTTTAGGGTCAAGCGTACTGCCTGGACCCCAAAAGTATGCAACCTTAAATAGCCTTTGTATAGGTCTTGGGCTATATTTTTTACCTACCTTTGGGTTTAGGTGAAAGGGTTCTGTAGTATAGGGGCCTCTAAAAGGAATTTGGGGTATACTATACTATAATTATACTCAGGAACCCCCAAGATGCTATTCTAATTATTAAGGCCCTTACATTCGTTTCGATAAGGCTCTTGCAGACTGCCGAGTGGTCGCACTTTCTTAGGTCAACACATGGAAACTATAGAGTTGCCACAACTACGAAACCATGCGCCATATCATGTGCTACAGATTCCTGGGATCCCTGTCCATAGTAAATAACAGTGGACAAATGAGGACAGCTTGCCCGTTTGGCATAGAATAGCTATAAGAATGGCCATGATAATACTAACAGAAAGAAGAAGGATAAGAATAAGAATAAGAACAAGAGATAGTATAATAATATGCTGATAGAAATAATATGCATAAACGGAATAATAATAGCAATGATTCTAGAATCAGTACCACTACTACGACGACGACTACTACCATGGATAAAATTACTACTACTAGCAATTAAGAATAAACATAATCATCGTAATGACAATAACAAAGAATTTAGTAGTAATGATACTCATAGGGAAGCTTCAGGTTTCTGCTGAACTTTGGTTTAAGGCTTTGCGGTTTTGGGGGGGTTTCGGGGGTTCCAATCAATGCGGCGCCTCAATTAATTACACCCTGAAATGTCGTTCCTATTTGTTTTGCATTTGTTGTCTTGTGATAAACCCACCTAAAGGTGCTCCAGTTGTGAGTGTAAGGGCTCACTAAATGCCCGACGAGCACACCAACGCCAGCACACCGCCTGATGATTGACATGAACCCTTCTCGCGTGCGCAGGAATTGTGCCAAACCTCATCACTGTCAGCACTTCTACCAGCGCATGTGGGCATCTGGAGCAGTGGACGCTGGCTTTACAGCTGTTTGCTGGTCACCCTTCTGCTGACCTCGCTGCTTGACTTGCAACCCGCCACGGTTTGCTCATTCTTCTTACCTTCGCCAAGAAATGAGGAATCTTTTATGTAGAGCCCCCCAATCAGCAGACTGGAAAGGTCACCAGAATTATCCTGAGCCTTACACCCTAAGCTCCAAGTGTTGCTTTTCACTGCATAATGCAGCCCATGGGCCTCAAAGCTGGTACAACCCCCCAGGCTATGATCCAAAAATACTACTGGCTTCATGTAATGAGCTTCACACATGTTAACTCTAGAGGGCTTCAAGGCCATGTACTGACTTGGAGATTTCTGAGGCACTGGGCCTAGAATCCTAGAACCACAAAGTGTTAACATAGTAGGCTGTTGACTCCAAGGGTCGAGCCCGAAAGCATCGCAGGTTCTCTACAACTCAACCATCAGCGCTTGCGAGAAGGGTGCACAGTGGCCCTTTGCTTTGCAGCTGCTGGTGGACATGCCGATGGTCAGAGCCACACCCAACCAGGCCAGCAAGGATTTGTTTTCCGGGAAGCATCGGTACTTACATAGTAGGGTTTCGCCCCTATACAGGCATATATAGTGAGCCCCAGAAATTTGGAACCTGGGTTTAGTAGGATTGGTGCTAGGATCCGTTATACATTACCTTAAGGCCATGAGGATATTGATGTTCAACTTCTGGCTTCTACTTTACTGGTTACCAGCTGAATTACTACGTAAGTGAGTTGCCAGGTTTGCCCCCAGGTTGAAAGCACCACCGATACGGGGCTAGGCCTTCTCTGAGAAGGGTCTCCTTGGGTTTTGTGTATTTGTGTGTCTGTATTTACACCCTTTCCTTGTCAGAACGACTACTAAGCTGACTGCGCTAGAATTGTCTATTTCGTGCAGTGAGGGCCTGTGTAGATGCTGACTTTGAGAGCTTGTCTTGAGCACCCTGGTGGGCAAACTTTGTGGATATCTTTCCCCACTCAGGTCAGCTGCAGCACGGGCATCACGGCATGTGAAGCTTCTTCTCGTCCGGCAAGTTTTCAATTTTCAATCCCAGAGGGTCCATATACATTACCATTATGGAATTAGGTCCCCAAAGACCATCCTGATTATGGTTTTGGAGACCTAATTCCATCATGGTTGGAATATCTAACACCCATCTAACGCCCTGAATAGTAAACTCCTCGTATCCCGTGCCCATGAACACAGCTTTTGTCTCCTGCACTGGTCCAAGCATAAAGACAACACGCGTCGTGGGTTGATCATCTCAGATCCTACGCCCTAGCCCCGAAATCCCAAGGACACCGCACTAGGGCGAAAACCCCTAAACCCTAAACCCTATAAACCCTAACCGCACTAGGGCGAAAACCCCTAAACCCTAAACCCTATAAACCCTAAACCCTAACCCCAATACCACTAGAAGACTGAAGCTACGCATTGTTCCTTAAACCATGTTGGGCTTCAATCCCTAAGGGCCCATGTACCTAAGTAGTATATACTTTAGCCCCAAAGGTACCTATATAGGGACTACTTTAAGGCCAAAGTATGTACTATTTGGGCACATGGACCTTNNCCCTAAACCTAAACCCCTAAACCTTAGGGAATATGATTAATATGATGACTCAAGGAACGTCCGTATTGGGATTTCTGGGTACTTACGTTCGTAGTACGTCTCAAGACAGACCAGGTTGTGGCAGTTTGCTACTATATGGGGCCTAAATAATTACAGTATTTTTTTTTTTTTGGGG